CTAAAAGCAGAATAGGACCCAATCCCAGGGAAATTCTCCCCAAAAAGCGGGATAAATCTCAAAACCCATGGAAATTCTCCTCAAAAAGCAGGACAGAACCTAAAACCCATGGAGATGTCCCCCAGAAAAGGAGGACAGACCCCTAATCCATGCTCCTCAAAACCCCAGGGAAATGCTCCTCAAAACCCCAGGGAAATGCTCCTCAAAACCCCAGGGAAATGCTCCTCAAAACCCCAGGGAAATGCTCCTCAAAACCCCAGGGAAATGCTCCTCAAAACCCCAGGGAAATGCTCCCCAAAAATCAGGAGAGGTCCCAATCCCATGGAGATGATTAGGATGGGAATCCCACATGGATGCGGCTGGAACGGTTTGGGAATGATGTGGGAACGGGGATTGGGGTGGGAATGCAGCTGGAATGGGGCGAGAATTTAGGGAACTGTGGATTTTTATGGATCCCATCCCATCCCAAGAGGCTGGAGATGTCCAGGAGAAAACTCCCCGGAAATCCCAATCCAAATTTCCCCCACCCCGGGCTTTCCCAGCCCTGCCCCTTCTCCAGAGCCCCTTGGGATCTCTTGGGATTCTCTTGGGAATCTCAGACCCTCGCTGGGCACAGCCCGGGACAATCCCCTCTCCCCCGGCTCCGGATTCCAGGCGTTATTCCAGGGACAGATCCGGGCGGGACGAGCCCCGGGATCCCGAGAAATCCGGGAAAACCCCAGCGGCGTCCGGAGTGGGGCCGAGCCTCGGGAAAAGGGGATTTAACCCCGCTCCGGGAATCCGAGCTAGGAAAAGCGGGGACGGGAATCCTGTGGGATCGGGAGCGTCGGGGTCCAAAGCGGGAACGGGGCTGCTGCAGCCCCGCGGTTGGGATTTATCCCGTGAAAATTCCCGGCTCATCCCAGAGATGTCGGGCTTGGATCAGGGAACGGCTCCAGGCCGAGTTAAACCCGGCCCAGGGCGGGGCCGCTCCGCCCTTTGAGCCCCGCCCGGGACTTTGATCCTGGGTTTGGGGTCTGGGAAAAACAAACCGGGGACACCGCTGGGGACACCGGGACCTCCTGGGGACACTCCTGGGAACACTCCTGGGGGCATCTAGAATCTCCTGGGGACACTTGGGATCAGATGGGGACACCCGGGGTCTGCTGGGAACACTCCTAGGACACTCCTCAGGACAGTCCTAGGGACACTGCCGGGGACACGTGGGATCTCCTAGGGACACCCTGGATCTGCTGGGGTCACTCCGAGGACACTCCTGGGGACTCCCAGAGTCTCCTGGAGTCACTCCTGGGGTCTCTTGGGATCACCTGAGGGGTCCTCGGGATCTCCTTGAGACACTCCTGGGGACACTGCTGGGGACACTTGAGATGAAAAAAAAACACTGCTAAGGACACTCCTGGGGACACCTAGAATCTCCTGGGGACCCTTGGGATCACCTGGGGACACTCTGGGGACACTCAGGATCACCTGGGGACACTCCTGGGATCACCTGGGGACATTACCAGGATCTCCTGGGGACACTCCTGAGGACACCCAGAATCTTCTGGGGACACTTGGGATCTCCTTGGGACACTGCTGGGGACAGTTGGGATCACCCTGGGGATCTGCTGGGGACACTCCTGGGACACTGCTGAGGACATTCCTGGGACACTCCCGGATCCCCCGCTCCTGGAAAAAGAGAATTCATTGAATTCATTAATCCATTAATCACTATTCTCCCACCTCCCGAGCTCCTTCTCCCCTCGCCGCCTTTCCCGGGACCCGGAGCCCTCCCGGTCCCGGCTTCTCCCGGCGCTGAAAAACTCCGCAGAAATGCGGAAGTCCCGCAGAAATATTTTCCTTTCAATCCCCGTTTTTCAAGGTGGATTTCTCTCCCTTTAAAGGGAGATTCCCGGGATAATCGCTTGGGAAAATAACTCTCGTCACCGCGGGATCTCCACGGAAAACCTTCCCACATCCACCACCTTCCTGGAACTGCGCGAGGAACCAACTTTTCATTAAAGAATTCATCCCCTGGCGCTTTTGGGCTTGGTTTGGTTTTGCTTTTTCCGTCCTTGTGTTGAAAATCGGGATCGAATCCTTCGGGTTTTCCTCCTGAGCAGCCTCTGAGTGATTCTCCAGGGAAATTTCTCCTTCCTGGGTGTGCCCCGCTCCAGAAATGGGATGACATCCCTAAAAAATAATAAAATTTTAAAAATAAGAAAAGGACTTTTGGGGGAGAATCCTAATTAATAAAAAGAAAATTTTAAAAGGGCTTTTTGAGGAGAATTGTAATAAATAAAATCGCTGATTGGGAAGATTTTCCAGACGGGTTTAATCAACCTGAGAGCGTCTTTTCCGTGGAGAAAATGGGATGTGGAGCCCTTTTATCCCAAAAATCCGCCTTTCCAAGCGCGCATCCGAGTTGGAAACCTTCCCGCGAGGGATGCGGGGGATAACGGGATGCTCCTAAAAAACCCCAAATAATCCCAGGCCGATCCCAGCGCGCGTTCCCGCGGGAATCGCGGCATTTATCGAGCAGGAACATACCTTAGGAAACCATGGAGATGCGCCGGGAAGGTGGGGAGCGCAATTCCCGCCGGGAAAGCTCCGGGAATTCCGCATCCCGATGGATGCCGGCTCTAATCCAGAGAACCGGCCTCGGCTTTTGTCCACGAGGCAGAGCCGGGAGAAGATGGGAAAACTGGGGAGAAAAAAAAAAAAAAAAAAAAAAAAAAAAAAAAGAAAGAAAGGGAAAAAAGGGAAAATTTTTCAAATTTAACCCCAAAAAAGGATTTGGAGCAGGTGATTTGGAGCGGATATTTGGGGTGATGCGTGGGGACAGGGGTGTCCCCTCCCCTGGTGGGGACAGTCCCTGTCACCCTCTGACCCCCACCCCAGACAGACCCCTGGTGCGGCCGCAGCCTGTCCCCCTCAAAATAATAATAATAATAATAATAATAATAATAATAATAATGCACTTTGCGTGCCCGGAGGTGCAGGAGAAAGTGTATTTATTCCTATTTTTTTTCTATTTTTTTTGTCTGAAAGTACCGAATCTTCCCCCAATTCCAGCAGAGCGGGGCGGGGGAAGGAGGGAAAACAAACGCGGCGTTTGAAGTGCGGGATTTTCCTGCCGGCGAGGTGACCCCGGAGCGGCGGGGAAGGAGGGCTCGGGCTCGGCTCCCGGGGTTTCACCTTCCCCCAGCGCCGGGAGAGCAGAAATATTTAATTTTCAACTTTATTCCCAGGCTCCTTCCCCCCCATCCCGGCAAATAATTGAATTACGGCGGCAGGAATGCGGCGGGGCCGGGGCCGGGGCTTTTCCCCCGGAAAACTCCGGGAATTGGAGTTTTTTGGGAAGCGGGGAAGGAGCGAGATTTATTTTCTTTCGCCAAAGTCGCGCCTGAGCCCAGCTCAGAGCTCGGGCGCAACTTGACACCTCGGGAAGAATTTTAAAAATCGCTCTTTCCCCTCCCCACACTGTCCCGGTTTTTTAAATTTATGTTGGAGGGGGATTGGGGTGGAAAGGCAGAAAACCCCAAAGCGCGCAGATTTAGGCGCGGCTTAGGCCGAGCTGAGGTTGAAGACTGGGCTCCAGGCCGGGTTTAACCCCAAAGCGAAGCCGAGGGAGGAGCGGGGCGGGCTGGGGGGGCCCGGCCGGGCTTTGGGGTCCGGATCGGGGCTGGCGCGGCCGCTGCGGGGGAGTTTTGGGGGGGTTTTGGGGAGGGGGCGGCGGAGGCGGCGGGGCCGGGTCCCTTTTCCAGCTGCGAACAAAAGGCAGCGCCGGCGCCGGCGTCACGTCCCGCTGCGCGCTCATTCCCAGAGCTCCCGCGGCTTTTGGGGCAAAATCGGGAATTCTCCGCCCGGCCAGGGCCGGCCCCGAGCCCGCCCCGTAATTAACGCGGTTGTTAATTAATGAGGGCGGCACCTGGGCTGGGCCGGTCCCAAAGGCGGCCCCACAGAGCGGGGGGGTCGGGGTGAGCCTTTCACACCCCCCAGGGAGGGATAGGAAAAGGGGAAAAAGCGGCTCCAAACCACCCAGAGGGAGCGGGACGAGGAGCATTTTATTTATTTATTTATTTATTACATTTATTTCTTTTAATTTAATTTATTTCTTATTTAATTTGTGTTTCTTTTGAATTTCTCACAATACTTCCAAACATTTTTAATTTTTTTTATTTAAACTTATTTTAATTGTTATTTGCTTCAATTTTCTTCATTTTAATTCCCATCCATTTTAATTTTCATTTATTTTTAGGGTTTTTAAATAACTTTTAGCAATCCTATTTTATCTCCGTTTTTTTTTTTTTTAATTTGCTTTTTAAATTTTTATTTTATTTTTCAATCCACGCCGCAATTCCCCCACCCCTAGCCGGGCTCAGCCCATGCCCCGCCCGCCTTTCCCCTCCTGGAATCCACTTTGGGGGGGAGAAACTCTAAAAATCACAAAAAAAAAAAAAAAAAAAAAAAAAAAAAAAAAAAAACCCAAACACCTACAACGCCGCAATTCCTGATTTGTCCCTGCTTTGTTTCACCCCAAATCTTTCCCAGCCGCTCGAGGGACACCCCAGCTTTCCATGAGGAGCCCGAGAATGACCAAAAACATCCCAAAAAAACCCTCTGGGAAGGAGCGCGGGGCTCCTCTCCCATTGGTGCCGGGGCCGGCCGCGGATCCCCCTTCCCATAAAAGAAAGGAGCCGGAGCCTATCAGAGCCCGCCCGTCCTTCCCACCGCCCCAACTTCCCCGCCGGAGCAACTTCCAGCCCCCTCCTCCTCCTCCTCCTCCTCCTCCAGCGCTGCCACAGCCGCGCCGCGAGGAGGAAGAACCGCAGCGCACGGAGCGAATCCGGGGGGCCGCGGCTCCCCCCGCTCTGCCCCCCGAGCCAGCCCTAAACCAGCCCTGAGCCAGCCCTAAGCCCAGCCCAGCTCCCAAGCAACTTTGGCTGTGCCTGCTCTTCCCGGGTGACATTCCAGCGGAGCGGCCGCTCGGGACACAGCCCCCAAACTTTCCCGGGAATTTCTGGTGGGTGATCCCCCCTCTATCCCCACCCCTTTCATCCCGAGCCTTGCAGCATTTCGATTTTTCCGCTTATTTTCTGAATCGTTCTAGGGGTTTTTTTATAATTTTTTGGGGTTATTTTTTTTCCGCGCTCCGAGCCCAGATTTCTCCCTTGTTTTGCAGCCGCTGGAAGGGCTGGGAAGGTCGGAGGAGGCGGCCCCGCAGCCCCCCGGTTGTGCCCGGTGTCCCCCCCAGCCCCGGTTCGCAGCGGAGCCCCTCGGCCGCCGCCGCCCCCCGACATGGCAGCGCTGCCCGGGACGGTGCCGCGGATGATGCGCCCGGCGCCGGGGCAGAACTACCCCCGCACCGGCTTCCCGCTGGAAGGTAGGTCTGGAAAACCTGGAAAAGCGCTCTGGAATCAGCCGGGGAGGGGGCTGGAAAAAAGCAGTTCCATCCCTCTGGAATAACCGGGGGGGAGTCCTAGCTCTGGAAAAGTGCTGCTCCTTCTCTCTGGAATCATCCAGGGAGGGCCTTAGCGTCTGGGAAAACGCCGCTCCATCCCTCTGGAATAACCTGGGGGGGCTCTTTGGGTCTGGAAAAACGCTGCTCCATCCCTCTGGAATCACCCGCGGGTGCCCTTGGGGCAGGGGTGCGGCTGAGCTCCGCTCCTGGGGGCTTCCCGAAATTCTCCCAACTTCTCACCCCTTACCCAGCCCCTTCCCGCCGCGCTCCCCGCGAATTCCCGGGATTCGCTTAGCTGTTTTCCCGTGTTTCGAGTATTCCCGGGCATCCCGCAGGATTTTTGGGGCAGCTTCTCCCGCTTTGGTGGTTTTTTTTGGGGGATTGGGTTTTTTCTGGAGGGTTGGTTTTTCAACGTCCCGACAATTTCACCTCGGCGTCAAAGGAGGGGGGAAACAACCAAACTGATGGGATTTAACTTTTCGGAGGGGAAAATAGGAATAAAAACCTTGATCCGGGGAGCAGCGGGAAGCCGGGATGATGTCCTTGGCCGGGGCTGGCGAAGCGGGGACTCGGGAGCTGTCACCTCGCCGAGTGTCACCCATCCTCCCTCCGCCGTGCCTTTGTCACGCGGGGGGCGATTATTTCCAGGCACACACGTTCCCAAAAAAAAAAAAAAAAAAGAAAAAAGAAAAAAAAAAAAAAGGCAAATTTCTATCCGGGACCCCTCTGGCCGCATTTATTAAAAGCGGAGAAAATTTCATCCCGCCCGTGCTCAAGTGGCGAATGGCAAACCCGCGGAAAACCACGCAGGCTGCAAAACACACAGGGCGCGGGGATTTGCTGAAGTGCTTTTCTGTAGCAAATGAAGTAAAACAGACGGCAAGGGAAAGGATCAAAGGATTACAACAATATTTGCACAACATGACTGGGAATAATGAAAGGAGAGAGCGGCCGGCGCTTTTAGCGGCTCTTGAATGTAAAATTGGCCACTCGAGTGTTATCTGTCGATAATGATACATCCAGGGAGCGCCGGCCAAAGTGACTCGGAATTAGCGGTGCATGATTCTCGCTAAATCGCCAGGCAATTTCTGGAATCGACTTTTCTTTGTAGCGAGAGAGGGGAGGGGAAAAAAAATATATCTAAAAAAATAATAAGAAATAAAAATCCGCCCCCCTCGCCTCGCCTGGCGCTCGCCCCCTCCAGCCTCGCGCAAATTACCCAGCTGAGTTCTGCCCCCTCCCGTCCTGCCTCCCCTCCTTTTCGCTTTAATTTCCAGCCTGTGAAATCGTATTAATCTGCGAGATCTGCGGCGCGAGGTGTTCGATAAATTGGGGAGGGGGCGAAGGAGCCGCCGCTGCCCCCGCGCCCGGAGAGGCAGCAGCGAAGCGGCCGCGGAGTAAAATCCCCCCCAAAGCCACAAAAAAAAAAACCCAAAACCACCCAAAAAAAGGTCCCCGAGAGTGTTTCAGAGGTGATTTCCAAAAGTTTGTTTGAAAGCGGAGCTCCGTAAAGCGAGGCGAGATTTTTTGGGGGGGGAGAAAGGAGAAGTTTTGGGAGCGTTCTGTTGTGCGGGTTTGGATCTCTTCGCGTTTAAAACGCCGGGAATGGTTTCAAACCGAGGTGTGAAACCCCAAATCCGGACAAATTTCCAGGGATGGACACACGGGGGGTGTCTCGGGGATGGGGCGCGCGGCTCGGGGGGGATTTTTATTTTCCCACTTTCCATGGGAAAACCTCACGCGTGGTGCCGGGATAAACAAACACCGGGATAAACAAACACAGGGATAAGCACAGACCGCAGGGCACGGGCGAGACTTTCCCCCTTCTTTCAAACCTCCAAACCCCGGGAGAGAAGCGGGAGATGCGGGGAAGGACACGCCGGATTTTTCCCCCCTAATTTAACTTTTTCCCGGTTTTTTTTGGGTCGGGTTTTCCCCCCCGTGTCCCTCGCAGTGTCCACCCCGCTGGGCCAGGGCAGGGTGAACCAGCTCGGAGGGGTTTTCATCAACGGGCGCCCGCTGCCCAACCACATCCGCCACAAGATCGTGGAGATGGCGCACCACGGCATCCGGCCCTGCGTGATCTCCCGGCAGCTGCGCGTCTCCCACGGCTGCGTCTCCAAAATCCTCTGCCGCTACCAGGAGACCGGATCCATCCGGCCCGGGGCCATCGGCGGCAGCAAGCCCAGGGTGAGTGCGCTGCGGGCACCGCGCCCCAAAATTCCGCCTTGTTTTGGTGGGGCAGCGACAGTTTTCCCAGCGGTTTTGGTTGTTGTTTAGTTTGGTTTTTGTTTTTGTTGTTTTGGTTTTGTTTTTTTTTTTTTGTTGTTGTTGTTGATTTTGTTTTTTTAGGGGGAAAAGGATTTTAATAAAGTTGCGGTTTTTGGCCTCTGATGGGGAGAAAGCGGGGCCCGAGCTGGAGGCGGTGGATGGATTAAAGCGGTTTCTTTTTTGTGGCTTCCACGTGCAACAAGTGATGCTCGTTGGAGCGATCCAGGCGGGGTGTGGGGAGCAGGGAATTCGGGATTCTTTGGGAATAGGAAATCCCATAAACACCCTAAAAATTGTTCCCTGCACCGCCTCCCCGGAGCTCAGGGTAATCCCACCCTGCCGGCTCTCTCGACTCTCAGAGACCCCGCTTTTAGGATTTGGGGGAGCAGGGCCTTTTCCCAGCTTTATTGCCCTCCTTTCCCCGCTCCCAATCCCCATGTTCCACCCCAAACCCCGCAGCCCGGCCGGGCCAGGCTGAGCTGCGCTGCTTCTTTTGAATTAAAAGCGCTTTTCCCCTGCTCTCCCTCACTTCCTCCCCGTCTGGCCGCCCCGCGGGGACACCCCGGCGCCCCTTGGGCACAAAAGCAGGTCGCGACTCCCGACGTGGAGAAGAAAATCGAGGAATACAAGCGGGAGAACCCCGGGATGTTCAGCTGGGAGATCCGGGACCGGCTGCTCAAGGACGGCCACTGCGACCGCAGCACGGTGCCCTCAGGTGAGAAGGCAGCTTGGCCACACTCCCCCGGCTCCGCGGGAGAATGGTTATCCCGCGGGAAAGGTTTTCCAGAGCATCCAAACACCCTCCTAGCTCTGCTTGGATGGAGGGAGGAAAATCGCCCCGAGCAAAGCCCGGGACTGGGGGTGATTTGTGCCCCGGCTGCTGCAAAACCGAACCCCAACCAAGCCCTTTTCCCAACTTTTTCCGGCTCCCTGGAAAGCCTGGGGGATGCTGGGGTAGGGGGAGACCCCCAGAGGCGCCCCCCAAATCCAGGGGGAAAGGGGAGCCCCGTTGGTCCTGCTGGGATTTGCGCCGTGGGGGTTGTGCAGCAACGTCCCCATGGGGTAGAGATCCCGAGCGGTCCGGGAATCCAGGAGAGCCTGAGATCCAGGAGATCCCAAGACATTCAGAGATCCATGAGATCTATGGATCCACGAGATCCTGAGATACAGACATCCAGAGATCCCGAGAGATCTGGAGATCCATGAGGTTCAGAGACACATGAGATCCCGAGAGATCCATTAGACCCATGAGGACCTGAGATCCATTAGATCCAGGGATCCATGAGATCCTGAGATGCCGAGATCCATGGGCAGCGAGGCTGCACCCCAAAGTTCGGACTGCAGGGACGTATTTGGGGTCCGGGGGCTCGGCGGGGCTCGGCCCTGAGGTCCCGCCGGGTTTTGGGGCCTCTCTGTGGGGCCAGAGCAGGCCCGAAGCTCCATCCCGGCTTGGGAACTGGGGGGAATTTGGGAATTGTGCGGTGACAGAGCGTGTGGTGACCTGGGGATGGCCCATTCCCAGACTTTGGGACATCTCGGTGCCGCTCGGCCGACGGCCAGCGGATCCCAATTTGGGAATGGCGGGGGCTCGGCGGCGGCGGCAGGTGCATTCCCACGGGAAGAGCGGCATTCCCGGCCGGTCCCGCTCCTCGCAGGCAGCTTATACTCGCCTTTCTGCCTTTGACTGTCCGAGGTTTAGTGAGTTCGATTAGCCGCGTGCTCCGCATCAAATTCGGCAAGAAGGAGGAGGACGAGGACTGCGACAAGAAGGAGGAGGACGGCGACAAGAAGGCCAAGCACAGCATCGACGGCATCCTGGGCGACAAAGGTACCGCGCGTCCCCGCGCCGCGCCGGGGGGGACACCGGGGACACGGCCCTGCCCGCCGGGGGTGGCTCCAGAGCCGCCGAGTTGGGCTCTTCCCAAAAAATCCCTGCAGGGAGCGGGGCTGCCAGGAGGAGGAAGAGCTGTCGGTGCTTTGCTCGGGATCAATTATCCATAAAAAGGGCCGGGAATGGCCGGAGGGGGGGAAGAGGCACCTCGGAGGCCGTAAATGAATTTGTTAAACAGATTTCGCCTAAGTGGTCCCCTGGAACCGGGGCTGACAGGTGACCGATGGCGCCGATCAATATCAATTAGGGACGGGAGCCGCCAGCACCGAGGGGACACGGGGGGGTCCCCGGAGCGGCGCCGCACCCCCCAATTATCCTGGGAAAAATTACCCAGGGAAAACCATCCAGGGGAAATGATCCAGGGGAAACGATCCAGGGAAAACGATCCAGGGAAAATCCTCCCAGCTCAGGCGGGGGAAGGCTCCGAGCCAGGCCGGTGGCGGGGCTCTGTTATCACCTCCCGAGCGCGGCGTTTTCTCCCGCTGGCAGGAAAATTCCAACTTTTCCCAGCTGGGAATGCGGGGTTGGGGGTGGGAACTGGAGCGCGGGCAGCGCCGTGGTTCTAACAAACCGAAGAAAAGGTGGAATTTTGGGGGAGCGTCCGTGAGATCGGTCAGGGAAATCGGGGAATTGGAGCAGCTCGGTTCGGGCACAAAACGAGCGCCTTTTTGGGGGTGGGGGGAAACGGTGATTTTGGGAGTCCCGAGCAGAGGGGAGTTGGGATTTTTCGGTTTTCTCCCGAATTGGTGTCAAGCGAGCACGGGCTGGGCTTGAGCCGGAGCTGGGATTTTGGGGGATTTGTGGCATCGCCGCTCTCGGGGTGAGCGGGATTCTCCCCCAGTCCCGAATTTCCCCCAGTTTGGGACACGTGGGAGAGATTTTGGGGCAGAAAAGGTTCCCCTGAGCCCCCATCACGGGAGTTGGAAATGAAGGTGACAAAAGGGATTTTGTTTTATTTTTTTTAAAGGATCCGATCCTTTTTTTTTTCCCCCTCTCTTTTCCCAACCTTGAAGATGAACTTCACTTACAAAGACCTTGGGGTCTATTGAAGCTTTATAAGGAAAAGATTCCTGACCACAAAAGCAAACAGCGGAGGGAAAAAAAAAAAAAAAAAAAAAAAAAAAAAAAAAAAAAAAAAAAGGGAAAAAAAAAAAAAAAGAAGAAAGGGGGGGAAAAGGGGGGAAAACCCGAGGCTGCCTCAAAAATGGAGTAAAGGGATGGGGGAGGGAGGGCGCGTCCATTCTCATTCAAAATTCCGCGAGGAGGAGAAAAACTTTTGGACAAAGGGCCGAGGACGGGAAGAAAGGGAGATAAATTATTCAAAACTCCCTGCTGTTAGATAGTTTTGTAATATTATCGGAGCGGCTGCTGCAGAAAGGCAGAGCCGTTGGACGCTGCAAAATGTTGCTGTGATTTGGGAGAGGGGCGATGCTCATTTGCAAATCGGGGCCATTGTGTCCGCCAGAAGCTCCCCCCGCTCACTTTCGGAGTGTTTTTAATTTTATTAAGAGGGGGAAAAAGGAGATTTGTGGTGGGGGGGGGGGTTAAGTTGTGTTTTCAGCCAGGCTCGCCTCTCGGGAAAAATATCTTTATTTTTGAAAGCGCGGGTTGAGTTGGTTTTCCCCCCGTCCTCGTGTTTTCCCCATCGCCACCCCCAAAAGAACAAATGGAAAAATAAGAATGAAGGAGCCGGGAGCTTTTTATCCCTGATTAGCACGCAAGAAGTGCGTGTCAAGAGGCAAAACAAAACGCTCCCTTCTTCCTTCATGGGTGAGGCCGCGGACAAATCAAACACGAGCCCTCGTTCCTGGATGAAAGGGGGCTAATTTGGGCAAATTCCCGCGGCCGGAGCCTGTGGAGCGCCGCGCTCCCTCCGAGCGCGCAGAATGCCCCGGCCCCGCGGAGAAATCCCAATTTCTCCGCAATTCCCGGATTTTTATCCTCACGCCGAGGAGAAATCCCCCCTAAAAACGGCGTGAATTCGGGGCTTTTTTTGGGTGATGCGCATCTCCAAAAGGAGCGTCCGAAATTCCGAATTTGCCGCTGCCCCGGCGGATTTTAACGCCTGGGAAAGTTTTAATGGCCCCAATTAAGATAATTGATGAGCCCGCTTGTAAAGCACTGGCGGGCGGCGGCTGCGCGCTGGGAAACGCCGCGATTTCTGCTGGGGAAAAAACCGCATTTCTGCTCGAAAAAACCGCAGTTTCTGCATGAAAAACCCGCAGTTTCTGCCGGAAAACACCGCGATTTTACATCCCGCAATTAAAATCTCAGAGCTGTTTCTCCCTCCACCCAATTCTCATTTCCAGGTGGCTCCCACTAAAACCATCCCATCCTCGCACGGCTTGAGGGAGGGCGGGGGGGGAATTTTTTCTCAATTTCTGCGCCCAACGCGACTTCTCCCTCCGAGAGCTGCGGGGGGAACGGGGCGAAAAACTTTGGGTTTGCTTTTTTTTTTTATTATTTTTAATCTTTTTATTTTTTTTTCCGCCGCTGCCATAAGAGCGAGTTGTTGTTGTTGTTAGTATTTATTATAATTATAATTATTATTTGGGGTTGTTGTTATTTATTAGGGAGGGGAATGTGCCGCTCTCTCCCTCGCTGGGGGGGCAATCTTTTTATTTTTTTTTCCGCCGCTGCCAAGCGCTCCGTGGCGGGTTCTCCTCGCGGGGAGCCGGGGGAAGACAGCCCTAAATGCTCTCTCTTTTTAAGTGGGAAAGAAAGCTTCCACCCTGCGCCTGTTTCTTTCTATCGTCTGCTTGGCATTTAATAATGTTAAGACTTATTAGAGCTGGTAATGAAAACTGTGGCTGTTGAATAGGGAGCTGTGTTGGAGAAGGGTGTAATAGCTCCAAGGCATGCTAAGAAATGTATTTATCCCCAATCAGTACTCACTCTCTGAGTTCCCAGCACAAACGTTAAGTTGAAGGGTTTTAAGGCAGATTAAATTGAGCCTTTATTTCTTTGCACTTTCATCTTTAAACGGCTCACTCCAGCTAGCCCTGGGCGGATATTCATGAGGCTTCACTTTGGGTTTTTTTATTTTTTTAATGTATGTTTATTTTATATATATATATATATATATATATATATATATATCCTTGTTAAGAGCGAGTTGTTGTTGTTGTTAGTATTTATTATAATTATAATTATTATTTGGGGTTGTTGTTATTTATTAGGGAGGGGAATGTGCCGCTCTCTCCCTCGCTGGGGGGGGCAGAAGGGGGAATTTGGGCACCCCAAAATTTCGGGGAGCGCCTCTCGGGAGGGGGCGGAGGGAATTGAGACCAGACCCGGAGGGGTGTCTGGTGTGTCGCCCCCACCCTGGGCCTGTCCCCCCATCCCCGGCGTGTCCCCCCGGGCAGCAGCGGGGCCTGGCGGCGCAGCCCCCCCGGAGCCCCGCGGGGTGCGAGGGATGCTCCCAGGGACACCCGGGTTTTGTTTTTGGGGTGAAAATGCGGATTTTTAGGGAATCTTTCCCTCCCCTTCGTTCTGTGCCCCCCAAGTTTGTGCCCTCGGCCGATTTTGGGGGAACAGCGGGAGAGGAGCGGGACAGGGGTTCCGATTGTGGGGGCAAGGCGGGACCGGGGCTCCGATTTTGGGAGAAATGCGGGATCGGGGCTCCGATTTTGGGGGAGCAGCAATGGGATCGGGGCTCCCCGGGGCTGGGGACAGTGCGGGAGGGGGGACAGGGACAATTCCAGCCGGGAGCTGCCAGCGCCGCTCCCGCCGGGTTTTTGGGGGGCCGCAGAGAGCGGGGGGGTTTGGGGGGTCCCGCCCAATTTGAGGGAGCTCGGGAGGAGCAGAAAGGGACGGGGGGACCCCCAGAGCTGGGCCGGGGCTTTGTTCCCCAGCCGGGAGAGGGGAGCGGGGCTGCGGGGCCGATTTATCGGCGAACAATCGGCGCGGGTTTAAAAACCAACACGCGGCTCCTCGGTAAATGTGTGTTTAGAAGCGCGGGGGGGGCCGCGAGCAGACACTTCATCAAATCAAGGGATTACCAAAGGTTGGCAATCTAATCAAACAGAGCCCAGGCGGGATTTGTGAGTGTTGCGAGCGGGATCAGCTCTAATAATGGGGGGCAGGAGAAGAGATAGGGAGGTGTCAAGCAATTCATTGGCTTTAGGCTGAGTTATTCTGTGCATATTTCAGGCCGAGAGGAGAGGGAAGAGAGGGGAAGAGGAATAAAGAAAAAAACGCAGGGAGAAGGGAGAGGGAGAGGGAGGAGGGGGGCTGGATGCGGGCGCACACGGAGCTTACATGTCACAAAAAAAGCTGAGACAAATGAGGTACAACAATAAACACAGATAACAATTACAAAGGCAAACAGTGGCTTTTGGGAACGGGAACCTGGGCTACATAAACAAAGTCGGCAAATGTTCGCAAGATAAACTCCTGCCTAAATCGAGTGTGACGGGGAGGAGAGAAGAGAGGAGGAGAGATAAGGCTGGAGAGGGGAATAAACGGGAATAATCGAACACGAGGCGTTTGAAAAAACAAACTTGAGACAAGGATGCGGCGAGCGGGGCTCGGCTGTACGGCAGGGAGAGAAGGAATATCGGGGAGATGTTTGAGATCGGGGCTCGGCTGGGGTTGGGGGCTTTTCCTTCTTCCCCCCGCCTTTTTGGAGGAGAAGAAAAGGATCCATCCTGGAGAGGGGGAACGGGGAGGGAAATCTAGGGGTCAGAGGCAGGTGGGGAGCCCCGGCCGGGAGAGGAAACGCATCGGAGACGTTTTAATGTGGAATTTGGAGGTGATTTCATTACCCAGGGCGGGTAGGAAGCAGATTTGGGGCGAAGGGGGGAGATGCAGCCGCGATAGAGCAGCGCAGGCAGGAAGCGGGGAGATCTCGTCCTAATCCCAGGTTTGGGCCCTAATTGGGCCGGGAGGGAGGGGGCAGAGCCGGAATTAAGGCAGGAAAGGCTGCGAGGGAAGCG